TGGATAGAATGCAAACAACTAGGACATTTCCACACTCCCAGCTCTTGATATATTGTGTCCTTGGAGTGGGACGACACCCCCTTTGTCTGTGATGTGCTGGCGGAACAAGGGATCAACAATGGGATTGCTGGCCTTGATTCAGAGTACCTGATTTAAAAAGAGAAGTGTTTTCTGCTTCCTGCCAGCTAAATTGGGATACCAGGAAAGTAATGAAATTACCAAGTTTCCTGCAGTTTGAGAGGAATAATTCTGGCTGTTTAAATTCCTTGCTGAATCACAAGAATGGATTCAAGAAGAGAAGGTGTTGTAAGAGTCTCCTGTAGGGCTGTAAATTTAGCCCTGTTTCTCAGTACATTCATGTATTTTTATTGATTTGATACCACTTATGTCAGCTTTTGAGGATTTAACATTGTTACAGATGTCAAGACAGTTTATAGTGAAAAGCTCACAGATTTTAAAAAAGAAATTTTAAGAGCATGCATATGTGTGAAGAACCACCCTTTTAAGCTTGCAACTTTTCACAGTGAAAATGTCCTTTTTAAATTCATCTCTCTTCTTTTAACTGACAACCTTATAAGTTCTTGTATTTTTTCTAAAATCTAAAAACTTTCCAGAATGCAGTTATCAAAGCATCATGGCTACATGGATAATTTCAAGGACAGGGTTTTAGGGTTCTGGTTCCTAATGTCCCATCGATCATGTACAACTTAGGTAAAACCTTTCTTCACCAACTTCTTTCTATATCCTCAGGTGTACGGGGTATGGCCTTATTCTTTCATTCTCACTCCTGCAACAAGATTTGCAAAAGTATGGGACTTGCACCTTTTGATCTTTCATCCAAAGAGAAAGACGCCTTGGATCACAGTAACAAGCTGCTTGTAAGTGCTTGCTGCAAAAAGCTTAATAAAAGAGTATGAGAAATCTATAGTTACTTGAAAAAACCCTTGTAGAGCAACAGAAATCCCCAGAAAAGAGACCATAATTACAATGGTTTACTTCGTGTTGTGATGTAAAATGTAGCTGAGTTACTTTACACTTGGCCCCTGAACTGATGCTGTAAACTTAGTCAGCATGAAAACCCATAGCATATTTATCAGATACATGTTTAAGCATTCAGCCCTTAGGAGGTTCTGTAGATCCTGTGGATAAAAGGTAATTATGGAACAAAGGTTATATGTGCAGAATACAGTGTGGTGCTGTGCAGAAACACCTGAGCTCTCTTGGCCAAGGAAGCAGTTTCTTAGCAGAGCTAATTGGTTTGGGCAGGGCACCATGCTGAGTGGCTCTGTTGCTTCTGTTATGCGAGCTGCTTCACTTGATGCTATCTCGGGTATCTCTGCATGGTACTTCAGTGTGCTGCGTTAAAAAGCGAACAGTTGGATTATTTGGGTGCATCTAATTAGACACAAGTCCAGTTGTTAGCTAGGTGTGTTCTGTTTGATTGAAGGATGCAGAATCTGGTCTAAAACTTTGGAGTGAAATTCAGCCCAGTCAATTGTAAAATTCCTTCTGACTTCATGTAGTTCATCTTTTGGAGGTTTTAAAGCAAACATATATATGGAGGGGTGGATATCTGGGGCAGGGGAGGGTGCAGTGGTATAGATGTACTCTCCCCTTCTGCTGCTGTCCTCAACTGATTTGGATGCAAGGGGAGCCCTAGTGTCGTTTCTGTCCTGCATCAGCTCTAGGCTGTGGCTGCTCAGGGTGCCAGGTACAGCAGGGAGAAGCAGCAGTGAATGGGTTTTCTCTGTTTACACCTGGTGCACCCCCACTGTGATTCCTGCTAGTAGGGAGAAAGTGCTGAAAGGAGGAAGCCAACCCCCACTGTGGTTCCCAGTTGACACAAGCATGGGGAGCGAAGGAAGCACAGAGCCACCCCTGACCTACTCCATCTGTAGGCCCCGGGAAGCAGCTCTGCAGGGTTCCAGGCTCAGCTGGGAACAGTTTCAGCATGCAGGTTCCTTCTTGCAGCACCTGCTTCCAGCCAGTGGTGGACATGCTGGGAAGGGGTGACTGGGCACAAAGCAGGCTGGAAGGAGGAACCTATGCACTGTTGCATGCTGCATAGCTTCTCCCTGCAGCCCCCAGCAAGAGTAGCTCTTGTGTTCAACCCATGTCTGGGTCAGCTGGAGATGGTGGCAGTGGTAGTGGGTTGTCTCCCTCCTCAAGCACCTGATCCCAGCCCAGCTTCTGTGGAGCCCTTCTCAGCCTGGGAGCTCCAGCTACTCCTGATCCCCACCCCCATGTGGTTTGAGGGACAGTGTGCTGTGCCCTCCTTAGGAAATTCTACATCTGCCCATGCATACATGCAAGCCTATAAATGTATGGATGCACATGTAATCATCTGTCCACGTGCATGAAGCCATTGTTAAATACATGGTTTAGTGTGCACTCCTTATTCAGTGAAGAAAAGTGAGAATCATAGGACTTTCATATTGCTTCTCCTAAGGAATCTGCTCAGACAGTTGTACGTGGCACAGAGGAAAAATGTGGCAGCAACCGGGTGAGGACGATCTCTGGTAGTCGGCCTCCTTTGCTTTTCCGTTTGTCTGAAAACTCTGGAGATGAGAGCATGAGCGACATGGCATTTGACTCCTTACCCTGTTCTCCTTCCTCAGCAACACCTCACAGCCAAAAAATGGACATGCTCCGTAAGTCCAACTGTGTGTCTTTGCATATAACATTGTAAAACCAAGTTTGCAGCTCCTGGACATTTTAACAAAAACACTTCTTATTTTTTCAAGTGTTTGATTACTTACTTACAGAGTCTGATTTAATGCAGAAGTTCCATGTGCCCCTTTCTATGTCTAAATATTTCTGCTAAGTAATAATAAAACCCCAGCTATGTCTGTTTATAATTAATGATGTGCTCACTTCTTTGAGGTGCCTTCTTGAAAACACTTTAATGAAAGTCAGATTCCATTATGTAGCACTTCTGCCTGATACATGATCATCTATTCCCAGAATAATGAACAAAATGTTATTCTTCCTAGATTGGCCTGTGTTCAATGACGTGGATAATTTGGTTCACAAAGACCATGATCACCTTGATAACCAAAAGGTATGTGTGCTGCTGAGAGAGGATGAGTTCGCTGTTGCTTTAGTAAATGCACTGCCTCTGGACTTTATTCAGGAAAAAGAAAGCAAAGTCCTCTGTGTTCGGTGCTGCTGGTCCCATTGTGCATATTATATTTTCAATTTTAAGCAAAAAGAATATAATTTTTTCTTACTGTTCTTCCCAAAGTTCACTTACATCCAGTGAATTTTAATAGCAGCAAAGGTGTTTATGTGTATTCTTGCCCGAATGTCACCTTCTGGGGCTTTTGCAGGCTACTGTGGTATGAAAGTCTGACAAAATCCCTATTGATTTTTATATGTGTAGGCTGGGTAGAAAACCTCACCTGAAAGAACAACTACAGGCTTCTGCAGGTTATTTACCTAGCCTACCCAAGGCCATAGCAACAGGCATTGCAGCTGCTTCTTCACTGGCTACAAAACGTTCATGAAGAGATATAAGGACATGGGACTGGAAGAGACCAGCATGTTTATCCAGTACAGTCCCTTGCTATTACATTAAGTAATCCTTATCTTAAAAGCAGACAAGCTTCATGGAAATTGGTGCCTGTTGTATGAGGTTCTTGCAAGAAAATGCACTAGTGTTATGAAACTTTATGTTGTTGCAGGACTTTGAAAATGGTGGGGACAGTGGCTATCCCAGTGAAAAGAGAAGTGAGCTAGAAGAAATGGATCATCGAGAAAAGGTAAAAAGCTTTATTTTGGATTTCACAGTGGTCTGAGGCTCTCTCTCCCATTTTAAGGTGATTCAGTCAAAGAATGTATGTATGTGATTACATTCTGTCATCTTACTTTTGCAATGAATGAATGGAAAAAATATAGGAAAGATGTTCCTGTATATTCTAAAATAGATGGTTCAACTAGCATATTGTTTACAATTTGCTTTCAGGGAAAAGAGAATTTGCAACGTGGAATCTCCTACAAAATAATAAATGTGATTGCAATTGGTTCATATGGTGCTTTTTGAGGTCTGGAAGCATGTCCTGTAAAGGGTTTCCAATTATAATGGGACTCTCTGAGTGTGACTTTCAGCTCCTGATGTACTGCATATTATGTGGCCTGAGGTATTTTAGAGGTTAAGACTGCAGTTGGCCATTAATACACTGGTACAGAATTCTTATTTCTAGACTTTAAACTTGTAAATAGCTTTTTGGTTGGTGCCTAGTAAGTAAATGCAGCTCTGCTTCCGTGTGTGGTCAAACCATTTGCAAAAAGAGAAGTTTATCTTTGAGGAGGCAGAAAGAAGTGATGTTTTTGTTAGTTTAATAGAATAAATCCAGTTTGTGTGAATGATGTTTCGGCACTGTAAGTTTTACTAGCTCAACCCAGTTTCTTTTCTATAAAGCAAGTCACTGAAAAAAAAACAGCCTAAGCTGTTTTCATCATTAACGTAATTGGGAAGAAATTGTTTGTAGTCGTAGATGGTACACATCAGATGCAAATTAAATTATGTAAATCTTTACATTAACATAGGGCCATTCAAACTACCACCGAAGACAGGAATCTGATGAAGACAGTTTGGGAAGTTCTGCAAGGGTAAATAAAACAAATCTTTGCAGACGATAGTTAACCATTCTGGTCTCTTCTTTATGTTCCATCCCTTGTCATCTAATTTCACATTGCTACATCGGACCTTAATTTTCATTCCTTTTAATTGCTGATTAATATTTTACATTACTATTGACACCCATGTTCTTTCTCTTTTTTTTTTTTTTAATTTTTCAATTAGAGAAGTGCTGTTGTAAATAAAGCTCCCATGACCTCTAAAAACAGTCCCTGGAGTAAACCAGTGATTCTGCATGTATTTCCCACTGACATAATTTTCACTTTCTCTTGCATAACTAGATTTTATTTGCTTACCATGCTATATTTATTGTATTATGTCCTGTACATTGTTGGGTGATTCCTTTTTTTTAAAGCCTCCAGTTTTTGTGTGTCAAAATAGTTGTTACTGCTATATATTTTTTCTGGTGAAAATTTTTTTTTTGATATTTCTGAAAAACGCAACTCTTTCTATGATTATCTATTTATCATTTTTTTCCTATGGTTGTAAATTAAAAGAGAGGTTTTTCATAGCAATCATAAGTATTTTTAATTGTATTTAGGATTTCCAAACTCATTGCAAAATTTATGCAATCTTTGTTGTTGATGCAAAAAATAAAAACAACATTTATGGATTGAAATTCTACATCAGCAACATATATTAGAGGGTTCTCTTTAATAGATTTAATTTTATTTTGTGCTAATGGTACCCATGCACCCATGGATCTGAAAAATATACTTTCCTTAAGAAATTTTAGAGAAAATTCTAGTTTGGGTTGGATAAACCCAGTAAACACCAACACACATATTTGCCTAGCTAGTGTAGTGTTTTTAATCGGGTTTTTAGTTGTAGGTGTGTTGGGCTAAGGACATAGGCAGACAAGGTTCTTTGAGTAGATGTGATATCTTTTATTAAACCAACTGAGTAGTTGGAAAAAAGTTCTTAGCAAGCTCTCTGGTGCAGTCATCCTTCTTCAGGCATAGGGAGTCTCTGCTCTACTGAGACTCCAAGAAATGAGAGAAGACTTTAATTGGATATTTTTCATTTGTCCCTGAGCATAAGCAGTATTTCAAACGTTGTTATTTAAAGCTTCAGTCCTGCAAAACACTTAAGACCAGGCTTTGCTTTCAGCATGTGAGTATCCCTGGCACTATTCACATACTGAAGGTAAGCATGTGTTTTGCTTAATCTTGGCCTACATGTGTGCTTTGTTTTAGGTACTGTTATTTATGGAGGACTTCTTGCTAATTGAATTAGGATGATAGAAAAGGAGCTGCTTTGAGCTTTTGTTTAAAAAAGTGATTGCCTGTGCCTTTTTAAAACAGCATCCTAAATTAAAAACACTTGCTAATAAAACAATAGATTTAATGGACTCTGATTTCTGCTTGGTAATGTATGGAAGTAGCTTGGTGCCCTTTTATTTTCAAATACAAGGTATAATACACTCCTTCCTCCCCCACTTTTTTTAGGTTAGTGTAGAGAAATGGAATCTCTACAACTCTTCCAGAGTCCACATCCATAGACCATCCTGTGTCGCTGAGGAAATTCAACGACTCAATGCACTTCAACTTGAAAAGAAAATTGGGAAATCCATCCTGGGGAAGGTACCAATGGTTCTATTGATTGCTTTTTCTTTCCACTTGAAAAATATATTTTGTGAATTATTATTTGTATAGCAACCCCCTCCTCTTATCAAGCTAGGAAGTGTTCAGACAGAGCAGCAAAATACTGATATGCTGGGGGAGGGTCTGTTAGCCCTTGGGCCACCTGTCCTCTGGGGCAGTCTACATGAACCCCAAACATAGGATCCATATCCTGATACTCAAGGCAAGTTAGTTAATAAATTAGAGGTTGACCAAAGGGTTTAAAATACCTCAAATTGTGTGTAGTGAAATCCTGGCCTTACTGAGATGAATAGAAATTTGCCCTTGACTTCAGTGGAACCAATATTTTAGTTGTGCTAAGAAACCTTAGCACTTTTGGCAGATAGGAAAAGGAATGATGCATCTTTTCCTCTACCCTGAGGTGTCAAACATGTTCTCTGTTGGTCAGATCTGGTCCACAGAGCCTCTTAATCTGGCCCACCAGGCTACTGGTGGACACTGAAAGCTAGGTGTGGCCTGCGACAGAATCCTAAACCTTTGGCCTCATCTGGGCATGGCCATCAGCAACAAGCTTGGCCACCTCTGGACTTGCATCTGGACACACCCCTGGCACAGCTTTATGAGCACTCATGGTGCTCTGGTGTGGTGCCAGGGGACTGGAAAAGGGCCAGTGTGGTTCCCATTTTCAAAAAAGGGAGGAAGGAGGACCCAGGAAACTATAGGCTAGTTAGTCTTACCTCGATCCTGGGTAAGCTTTTTGAGAGAATTATCCTGGCATATGTCCGCAAGGGGCCAGCAGGGGAGATTATGCTTAGGGGCAACCAACACGAGTTCATTAGAGGCAGGTCCTGTCAGACCAACCTGGTGGCCTTCTATGACCAGGTCACAAAGTCCTTAGTCGCAGGTGTAGCAGTGGATGTAGTCTTTCTGGACTTTAGGAAGGCCTTTGACATTATCTCTTACCCCATTCTCATTAAAAAACTAGGGGACTGTGGCGTTGACACCTACACAGTCAATTGCGTTACTAACTGGCTGGAGGGCCGCACCCAGAGAGTGGTGGTGAATGGGTCTTATTCGAGCTGGAGGGATGTGGGCAGTGGGGTTCCGCAGGGCTCGGTCCTTGTGCCTGCGCTGTTCAACATATTCATCAGCGACTTGGATGAGGGGGGTGAAAAGCACCGTGTTTAAATTTGCAGATGACACTAAGATGTGGGGGGAAGTGGGCATGCTAGAAGGGAGGAATAGGCTACAATCGGACCTAGACAGGTTACAGGGGTGGGCAGATGAGAACAGGATGGGTTTCAACACTGACAAGTGCAAGGTGCTACACCTGGGGGGGAAGAACCAGCAGCATACCTACAGGCTGGGGAACTCCCTTCTTGTCAGTGCAGAGGCAGAAAAGGATCTTGGGGTCATTATTGATGCCAAAATGAACGTGGGCCAACAGTGTGGGGACGTGGTCAGGAAGGCCAACTGCACCTTGTCAAGTTCTGGGCGCTGCACTTCAAGAGGGATGTGGACAGCATCAAGAGGGTCCAGAGGAGGGCCACTCTCATGATCAAGGGGCAGGCCCTACGAGGAGAGGCTAAGGGACCTGAACCTGTTCAGCCTCCACAAGAGAAGGCTGAGGGGGGATCTCGTGGCCATTTACAAACTAGTAAGAGGGGACCAGCAGGCATTGGGGGAGTCCCTGTTCCCCTGAGCACTACCAGGAGTGACTAGAAATAACGGTCACAACCTGGCAGAGGGTAGATTCAGACTAGACATCAGAAGGCGCTACTTCACTGTCAGGGCAGCTAGGATCTGGAACCAACTTCCCAGAGAGGTGGTGCTGGCTCCTGCCCTGGGGGTCTTTAAGAGGAGGCTAGACGAACACCTTGCCAGGGTCATTTGACCCCAGTATTCTTTCCTGCCATGGCAGGGGGTCGGACTTGATGATCTACTCAGGTCCCTTCCAACCCTACAAACTATGAAACTATCTCTGGACCCCTTGGTGCTGCTGCCACAGGTGCCAGTGACACCTACAATAGTCCTCATGCCTCTGGCTCTATCTGGTGCCCACAAGGAAACTATCCCATAATCTGGATCTGGCCCAGGGCCCTAGGTGAATTGGACACCCCTGCTCTACCCCCAGCAGCATTTGTAAAGAGATGTAAGCTACAGCTTCTATGAACCAGATCCTCTCCTGTTTGCTAACAGAGCCTTAGAAGCAGGAAGTTCTAAACCTGACTTCCTGTAGATCACATTTGCTCCTAGACTTGGGTCCTACCATTACAGCAGTTTTAAAGGCCTTAAGGTACCTAACAGATCCACTGAGACATACAACTGTCCTCTGAATCCTAGTGGGCTGACAGAGTTCCACTAAATTACAGTTCGAGGTAGGTTAATGAGGGGAAAATTGATGTAACAGCTGCCAGCTGTATCTTTTAGCCCAGGCAGTTGAGGCTCATAGACTGCTTTGTTACCCTTCCACTAGCAGTGAACAGAAAATCACACTGTGTAAGTGGTTTATACTACTGTTTGCCACTTGTGTATGTTCTGTCTGTTTGTACCCTGGATTGTCAAATAGCCCACATCATATGAACTTACTTTGCTCTTGCATACACATTTGCTAAGCAGTTAAGTCCCTGGCTAATTTTAAGCTTACAAGTAGACCTATTGAAGTGAAGGAGACAGGTGCCAGGCTGAAAGATAAGCATGTGCATAAGTGTTTTGCTGAATTAGATCAGCACTTTTTATGTGTGCTCAACTTTTCTCTAAGTGGCATCCTACATGCTGGGTTGCAGGTTCACTTGGCCATGGTCCGCTACCATGAAGCTGGACGATTCTGTGAGAAGGATAAGGACTGGGATCAGAAAACTGCTCTCTTTCACCTGGAGCATGCTGCAGATTGTGGGGAGCTGGAAGCCATCGTTGGGTTAGGACTCATGTATTCCCAGCTGCCACATCACATTCTTTCAGAAGTCACTTTAGAGGTAAACAAAAACTCCCAAAATGGAGACCAATCATATGGCATCTTTTGTGTTCTGCGTTGACAAAAAGATAGGAGAATCATGCCCAGAGACTATAATAATATTATACGTTTTACACATTTAGAAATCCCAGACCTTCACCTGAAAAGAAGGGTGATCCCTTGTGGCTAAGCTCTAGGACTAGAAACCAGAAAGCCTGGTTCAGATCCTGGCTTTGCCACAGATTAGTTGTTTGACCTACTTTGAAGTCATCAAGGTACACATTTTCAAAAGTGGTCTCTGATTTTGGGTGCTTCCATTTTTGGTGTCCAGCTTGAGACAGACTGGATATGAATTTCAGAAAGTCCTGAAGGCTCGTAATTCCTGTGGAACTGATGTGATGGGGGCTCCACCAGCAGCTGGGTGAAGAAATGCATAGTGGAATGTTAGTGTTATCCATTTTAGTGGGGTTTTTTCTGCTTTTACCTTAATAGGACACAAAGGAAAACAGAACAAAAGGATTTGATTATTTACTAAGGGCTGCAGAAGCTGGAGACCGGCCTTCCATGATTCTGGTAGCAAGAGCATACGACACGGGTATAAATCTTGGTGCAGACAGGTATGGTGTAGCAGTATCCATGTGTGCAGTACACACAAGTGAACAGTGAACTGCATGTGGAATGCTTGACCTCACATATAGAAGATGTTTTTATTTTGGAGCTTTCATTTATATTCGTATTACCTTCATTATTGTTTACTGAAGTTAATAGAGGTATTTCACTGGTATAAGTGATTTGGGACTGCAACGTTTTGTCAACACAAAGAGGAATGTTTACAAACTGAGAGCCATATTCTTCCTATGTGCACGTCCCATCAATGTGAATGGAGGCTGGATGTGCATTTTTGAGTTTCTGTTACATTCAGGATGTCTCTGTAGGCTTTTATTTTATCTGGAGAAGTACGAGAGAAGCCAAACTATACACTGGTTTCTTGGGATGTTATCAGTGAGGCAGGATTAACAAGAGCAGCTACATACAGCAGAGAATGCACAAACGTACTCCCAGGTGGTGAGGTCTCGGGGTTTGAGGTAAGTTCCAGACTCCTACACTTCTGCCTCTGTGTAGGAGTTTTACACAGGTATACAACTTGGGTTCAAATTTCTGTATTCCCTACCCATTCCTCTGAGATAAGGATCTCTTGGCTAATGCAGTAGGAAGCAGGGGAAGTCATGGCCTGTGACTTTAAGAGCTTAAATGGTACTTTTGCAAGCCAACGCCTTGTGGTGAACTTCACTTTTGTTTATGTTAAGGCTTACTGATGGTGATGCCTTTCTCCTGTGAAATTGGTGGTAAAACTACCTTGGACCCCAGTGGAAATACATTTGCGTTTTTAAAAGGAAGGATCGCTGGAGAAAATTAGTACAAGAGACATTGTCAGCATGACCTGCAGTCGTTTAACAATGAATTAAAATAATGTTGGGTGCTGTACCTACTCCTAAATTATTTTATGCTCACATTTTTCTATTTTAAAAAGCAATGTTTTTTCCCTCCCGTTACTGTAAGAAACATCCAGCAAAAGGGAAACAGATGGATTCATACAGGGGAAATAATGAAACAGTCATGAAAAAAGTGCTATTGAATGTACAAGTGTGTGTGTGTGTGTGTGTGTGTGTGTGTGTATAAAGAATATCCATTTTTAATGAATGTCAATCATCATAATCTTTCTCATTGTCACCTATAACAATAGTAGCAAAAAGAATTCATGTTAGAGTGCAGTTTTTAAGGCCTTTTAAATCCAAGATGAGTTGAAATTTAAGGGAGAAAAACGTCTTAAATTGGCAAATCTTTTTTTTTTCCACATGGCATACACTGTCATTCTAAATTTAAAATGACTAATCCCATTTTGGACCACTTCAGTGACAATATATTTTTGTGGACAGAATGAAGTAAAGCCCATGAAATTCAGAGTTTAGAATTGAAAAAAGTGACACAGAATTGATTTTAGCAAGGTGGCCATGACCTGAAGACATGTGATTTGCAAAATGCTAACCAGCTTCTGCTTACTGATTTTTGTAAGAACTTTTTGTTTATTTATTTATAATATTAGACCAGTTTTCTGAACACAGAAGATGATGGATTAGGGACTTTGTTCCTCTTTCTGTTGCTTTATTAGTAATATCAGTCTTAGAATAGGACAAAATGTTATATCTATTCATCTCAGAATCCCAGGGGATCAGATTGCCTGGATATGAGGGGCAATTATTATACTCTCCCATAATCTAGTAACCAGCCAAATTCTGCACACTTTTGATGACAAAATGAGGTGCCATTCAGTGGGCACGTCTACACATGTGCTTTAACGTGCAGTAGCCTATTTTACTGTGCATTGGAGTGTCATGGCAAAAAACATGCTAATATGCTAATGCACAGTAAAATTAGGCTACTGTGCCTTAAGCATCACTAAAAAGTATGCACTTTTGCTACTGCACATTAGGGTAGCCTAACGCACTTTTAGTTAGTACCTCACATAAGAGGTACTAAACTTAATGTGCAGTAGCAAAAGTGAATTAATTAAAAAATCTTCATGGTAGGATTTTCCTTTTTTGTTTCTTGTTTTTATTTCATAGGTTTTGATCAGCAATAATCACTTAGCAAAGCTGGTCTTTAAATTATTACTAGGGCTTTATAACTAATATCTCATGGAAATAAATGAAGCACTCACACCCTTCCCAGCTGTTTTTGATAAAGCTGTCTGAAGACTTAGGCAGACCTCACCCCAATGATTTGAAATCTACTCCCAGCTTTAATGTTTTTTTCAAATGTATAAAGACCAGAGGTGTAACTCTTACCTTTTAATAACATCTCAAGTTCTAGTGCACAGGAAGGCAGCCTCCAAAGCCAGGATTAACTTGCTGAACCAGAACAGCCTGGTAGTTCATCCCTGTGAATCCCATGCAAAGTGACTTCAGCCACTTTCATTATAAGAGCTGTGATGCAGATTCCGTGGCACTGCCTACACATTTCCGTGCAAGCTCGTGGTTAAGCCCTTTGTAGATAGTATCAGGTCATTCAGCACTGTGCCAAACTGAGCCCTGTAACTCCAGAGTAAAGTACCTCCATTTTCCATATATTACAGGGTTGCCTGTCCTTTTAAGAGGTTGCAGCTAGCCCTGTGGACTAGTTGCTGTTGTGCAGAGGCTACTGATAAGGTAATGGCCCACTGGGAACTTAAAAACCTTAAAGAGAAGAGCAGCAGGTTAGCATACGGTGTGGGAACAGTTGTGAGCCAGAGGAAAGTGGTAGGTTGAACTGCTGACACTGTGGAGGAGCCAGACTGCTCCGCTAAGGCCAGAACCACAGGGGTCCCCTCGTGGTGTCCAGGACAAAACAATAGGATTTGTTTGCTTATTTGTTTCAAGACTCTTTTTTTTTATCTGTGTAGACTACCTGAAGAGCTAGCTCCTCAGGGAGCAAAAGCCCTCTTGGAGAATCCCACAGACAAGGCAGCCTACTTACACTATTGTAATTCTTTTTCTTTTGATACATCAGAGTACAAGACTGGAAGGAAGCCCTTCACTGGTATAATGCTGCACTCAACATGACTGACTACGATGAAGGGGGTGAATACGATGGAACTCAAGATGAGCCCCGATACCTGCTCCTGGCGAGGGAAGCTGAGATGTTAATGACAGGACAGTTCAATCTGGACAAGGATCCACAAAGATCAGGTAGGTCATGGTCTTGGACAAGTCTTATTGGTGGATTGGTATATTTAACCATGTTCTGTACATCTTCTTTTCCTAAGGGGGGAACCGTGTACATACAAAAGATGACAGATGGCTCAGAGACCTCACGAGGAGTATTGCATTTTACTGGTTAATACAGCAAATTCATCTGACCTGAAGCCAGCCACTAGCAAAGCTTTCCAGCAGCATTTTAAGTGTCACCTGGCCTGTACCTGGATACGTTCAAATGTGAAGTGAAAGCAGCTTCAAATACTTTATAACCAAGAGAGATTAGGATATCCTTTTGGGAGTGGAGGGACATGAGCCAGCCTCTCTCTCCTGTTCATTGTTGTGTGCAAGGCCAAGCAGTCAGGTCTGCTATTGGAAGTGAGAGAGATGGAGAACGCAAAGGGGCAGGGGAGAAGCTGGGGCTTAAACACTGATGAGCTGTTTGGCACTGTCAGGGTTTGGGCAGGGCAGACATTTAAGTGCCATGTGCTTGTAGGGGTCTCCGAGATTAGACAGCAGTTAAGTGAGGATTATGTTTTGGCTGCTGCTCCCTAAATTGGCAGTTAGACATCTAAATCCCATGGCAGATATGGGAACCACTGAAGGCAAGAGTTCCTAAAACCTGTAAGCTTCCTCTGCTTACCAGCCCCCAGATCCAGTTAGGCACTGGCTGACCCTCAAGTTCGAACAGCTGGGTATTAACCAGTGTCCCCTGCTTTAGAGATGAAACTAATGGCCTCATCTAATACAAGGTAAAACTGAAGTCAGCAGAATGTGAAATACTGTTGATGCAATAGACCAGCATTTCTCAACCTGTGGGTTGTGACCCAAAAGGTGGTCACAAAAATATATGACAGGGTTGAAAACAAAATTAAAAAATGGATCAACAAACTTAAAAAAAATAATTCTCCTTTGAAGGAGAAAAATGTGGGAAACTGGCTTTTCCCTTGCAGGCTGGCAGAGTTCCAGTCTGCAAGGGGCTGCTTGGAACCCCCCACCTGCCCCACACACTGTGGGGCTGGGATCTGGGGGTGGGGGACAGCAGGTCGGGAGTGAGGGGCACTGGCCACTTATGTTTACAAATGGGTCCTGGTACAAAAAAGGTTGAGAACCACTGCAATAGACAATTGGATATGCAAGTTCTGATCCTGCAGAATAGTGAGTCTTGAATGATAAGAGTACAGAGCACCCTTAACTTCAGTGGGAGTTGAGGGTGCCTGGCACCCTACATGATCAGATCCTGAGCGCATGGGATAATCTTGATGTTTTCCATCGGTTCAATATTATTTGATGTTTTGTGGTTTACAGTCCCTTGGACTCTTTTAGCCAGCTACTGACATATTGCATTTATGATCCTAGATAGCATATCAGAAAGTAACTCAGCTGCTGTAGCAGTACTTTTCCATGTTGCTTTGAATTCCAGTGTTGTGGGCTGGTGAAAATAGCCAGAGCTGCTTTGATCTCTATGGAGTTGCATGAATTTATGCTAGCCAAGAGTCTGGCCCAGAAATGTGACCTCCATTTCTTTGCTGCTGCTTTCATACCCTTCATTTCTTCCAGACATGCAGAAGCTATTTTCTTTGTCATAGTCTCATGATTCTCTTTGTCTTCTAGGTGACTTGTACACAGAAGCCGCAGAAGCAGCGATGGAAGCCATGAAGGGTAGACTGGCAAATCAATACTACCAGAAAGCTGAAGAAGCTTGGGCACTGATGGAGGAGTAAAACGTCAAACAAGGCAGCTCTTGTACATAAAAATAATCTTTTTTATCAACTTTGTTTGCAAAAACAATGTGTTTTTATGTGTTGTTTATGGATCTGTGTTTTTTGCATTTTAATTTTTTAACTTTATCCTGAGGGGGAAAAATTAGCCAAATGTAGGTTTGTACATTTGGGGGTGCTGTTGTGTACTTTTACCTGCATTTCAGAGCTACCGTATCTAGGAGCTTGACCTTTTATATTTTTTTTTTACTCTTAGGCCTGAGGGATCCTTATTTTGTTTGAGAAAAATGAAGCTGATGTTAATTTAAGGTGCACATTTTTTTGTTTTATGCAGTTTATTCCTATATTTATTACTATATTATGTCTCCTTTCCACAAAAAAAATCACATTTCTAAATCCCAAGCACTTTTTACCATTATCTGGTGCATCTCAAAGCAAATCTCAATTTTTGTCAACAAACCTCAAGAATCCCCCTTTCTGAACATGTGGAATAGACCCAAGAACTGAATTCCATTAGTCATGCTCCTTAAATGCAGTTCTGATCTGTGAAAATGGCATATGGATGCTGTTTGTTCTTCCCAAAGGGATTCAAGAACTATCTTTTTATTTCTAAATTGGTAAGATTTGTTTCTTCTGAAAGTCGATGGTTTCCTGGTGTCTCGCTCATCATTAACAATGCTGTTCTGCTGCCAAAACGTTATTAATTCTCTGGATGAGGCAGAAGCTGAAGTGAAATCCTGCAGTCCCACCCAAACCTATATGCCCTCTTGAAAGGAGTAAAAACTTGAATCAGTCAACACAATATAACCCCAAATATACCCAGAGAACAGGCCTACCAAATAGAAAGGTGCCATTTTTACAGAGCAGAACCACACTTTAAAATGAATATGATAGAATCTTAGTTCTATTAATATCGGTGGCCAAATCCCATTAATTTTGAGAAGGCCACAATTTTGTCCATAGGAAATAGAGATTTTTTTCCCAACATTTTCTGTTTTCTCTTCTTATTCTAATACAGTAAGTGTAGTTGCATAGAATCCTATTAGATTCTTACAATACGCTTCCAATAGCATAAAGTAACAAAGTCTGTATCATATTGATTTCTTGTTATTAGTTATTGTTACAGTGACATCTCCATTCCCAGTGCAGCTTGATTGTCTTACTTCAGTATTAAGAAATAGTTGAGAAGGGTATTTCTGTAGAGGGACATTTAGAGAGGTTATAGAAATTGAGATGCAAATACTTTTACTACCTCTCCATACTAAAACAACTTCATGCTTGACACTCATGTGCTAGATACTGTAGGAGAGGTTTGAGCTGTTCATTGAAGAGTGCATTCAGTCTCAGTAAATTCCAGATTGTGCTTAATAATAGTTTACTAAATACTGTCCATAAAGGTACGAAGCTCATTGTCTGTGGTAATGAGTCGCATTCTCAAATTCTGCAGTGGAACCTGGCCACCTGTTGCAGTTTACAGCATCATCTCAAAAAGAACCTTTGTTTTTCATGTAAAACAGAGAACTTTTTAAAAATCTCGTTCCTGTTTATTGTAGAAAAGCATATTTGTCTCCCAGTTGCAAGAAAAATGCATACTGTCCCTGAGCACTAGTTTTTGTGTCCTGTTTACATAATCCCCAGATAGTAATGGGAGCACGAGAGTATTTCAGCAGTAGCAGTATAAAAATAGCATGAAATGGAATCTTATTTTGAGTTCAGAGTTGTATTTCTAGACTCCAGTGGCACCTGAAAAACACCTGGTTCTGTTTCTTTCTCTTGTTTATCTGTAGTTCTGATTTTGAACTGTTTAAGACTGACTCACTGCTTAGTATCCCCATGACCCTTTAATGATCTCCTAAGTGGGTAGGTTAATGCACATACAGAAAGAAAGAGGGGGGAGGGTATCACTGTTAAGGTTGGTATGTGTTAAATCACGTTCATTGCTCTTCCTCGTTTTTAGACCCTGAATGGGCTTAGGCAAGAGCTAGGCACAGACCTGCTAAGCATCGTCAAAATGGGGCACTCTCCTGCAAGAGCAGTGATAGAATTTCCAGGTATCTCAGCAATTCTAGAGTTACCAGCTGTGATACCCCAAGTGTTGAGGCATCTCCAGGGTTAGGAAGTAGTGGAGCAGGGTTTTTCAGTGCGACAAATTTGGACTCTGGTATGTAAAATGCATCTAAGTTCCACTTTCAGTGCCTAACCGCTTTCAGGTTCTGGTCCTTTGTTCCCTCCTGCTGGGAAGCAGGGTCAGTAGTAAAATGCTGGCTCTCCCTGACAGGCAGTGGTACCCTTTGATTCTGAAGATGATGCAACAGTGACACAAAAAAAGATTTAAAAAATGTGCATAAGTAGCACACTGTAGACACTTACATAAGTAATAAGTACATAGTACAGATAGAGAATGTATGTTTTCATGTACAGGTAATCAATGTGTTTTTTTTTCTTTTAAAAAAATAATCATTTAACTGGCACACCAGCCCTGTATGGGGAGGGGAGGAGGCTCAGGTGTGTAAGTCCAAAATAAAAAGATAGGCTCAAGAGTGTCATAATTAATGCTTTTTGGCACACAGCTGAATTCTGTAATTTCTTCATGGAGCTAAGATGGAGCTAGATGTACCACATTGTGGACAAGATGTTGCAATTGGTAATAGTTTGTCTTCAAAATACTACTTTTTTTTAGTGATTTAGACTGTTTCCTAGCTCATGATTAGTTATATAGCTGTGCAATAGACAAGACTGTCAATGATTTTTAAATGAAATGTATGTTTACAGAAATATGCACAACTTATTTTATGAAATTCCTATAAAGAGAAAAATGTATGTATTTGAAAGACTTTTTGGAATGACCTGGCCACAGGCTGTATTTTTAATCTATTCACAGTGAACAAATAAAATATATTTTTTAAAAAATGTGAAAAAAATATTTGAGGCCTAGTCCTGCAGAAAAGCTTCCGTTGACTTCAGCAGTAGCATCACCTGAGTCACAGCAGCAGGAGCAGAGACCTTTGCATGTAAGAAATGCTCATTTTGATTGCTTGCTTCACTTACTCATGATTTAGTTCCTCTGGTTTTATTTTGCTTGGTCAAATAAAGTTATTCCTTTTGTCACATTTTTTAAGTAGAGTATCATTGTATTTTTGGGGTTGTTTACATTAGCATAATAATTTACTGTTGCAAGTTCTGAAATATTGTGTATGTTAGTTTTATTATTTCATCACTGATCCCAGCTGCTTTACAGTCAGAAAAAAGTGAACGGAGACAAATTCAGTACATTTTTGAAGAAGTGGAATACTTTCCCCAGGTGTGATGAATGTCTGACATGCAATTTATATTTGCACGCATATGCTGTAGATATAATAATAAAATATTTAAGGTCAAATTTCAAAACCCTAACTTGGGAGTCTTCCTTACATGGCGGTAGTCCAACCTTTGTGTAGTACTGAAGCCAAGTGTTTTCTGTCTGAGTAAAGAAAGCAAGATTTGAGGCATGGCTGACAGATTTTTGTGCTGGTTTTTTTTGTGATCATTGTGATATTTGGTTCCTTTTTACCAATATGACTTATTCCCCTTTCTGTACAGAAATGCGTTGTACTCCTGTAACTACTCTTTTACTTTTGTAACTGTCTGTACACTGTGAGAATTGTACTGCTTAACAACCTGGGTATACTTAAGGTGACACGCCATCGTCCCATGGCAAAGGCACCTAAAGTAATGGGATTTTATAGCAAAAGAACCCTATGTCTGTGTGGGACTGGATGTTTGTGACATGGTAGGCCTGATGGTCTGAACATGTCTGTCTGCTGCCTCAAAAATGTAGGATGTCCTTGGGAAGATGCTTATGTGCTTCCCTCCCAGGAGTTCCTGCTGCCTCCATTGCTTGACAGATGCCAAGATGCATTTCCTCAGCTTTCCCCACGTTCTCTCTGGAGGGCTTTTTCTGTTTCCTCCTGGCCATCAGCCTTGCTGCTACTGTTGAAAATGTCCTACTCAAGGCTACTGTGCTCAAGGACACTGATAAAAAAAGATAAGGATCCTGTATTTACAGCAGTAGCAGGAAAGGAAATGTGACTGCATTATCTGGGCTGGGGAGAATGTCCTGGGGAAGAAATGTGTACTGGGAGAAAAAAGAGGAGAAAATGCAGCACTTTCCAGAGCTCCCTTTCCTGACTACTGCTCTGGCCTTAGCATCAGCTGTGCTGGCAGTTGAATAGTGGCTGTCTGAGGAGAGGTTGTGGAGGTTTTAGTATCTCTGCCTTCTTATCCTCACAGAAGGAGTATCCTCCTCTTTGATGCAGGGTGTGACGGTTTCCTCCTTGAGTTCCCTTTGAACATTGTCCCTTGAAATGCTCACTTCCAGGAGCAGGTCTAGAGGCATGGAGCACCTTGAAAAAGGGATGCATCGTGGGTGTCACTTGGCAGGACGACTCAAGCTATTTGCTTGCTGAAGGGCCTTGGCCTTGGCCCAGAAATCCGCCTTGTAGCCCTTTGCTTGCACGCCCTCCACATTTGCCCTGTATACAGTGTGGTTCCCCAGGAGCAGGGCTTGGACAGGCCCTTCTCCCACAGGCTGAGGAAATCCAGCACCTCCTTCCTGTGCCAGGCAGGAGCACAGGGTTTGGATCTGTGTTTGTCCTTTATAGCAGCTTTACATGGCATGTTTGTCTGCTTGCATGTGCATGCTACCAGGGGCTGAGTATGTCCCAAAATTGTAGGATTTAGAGGGAGGGATTTAGACATGAGACACTGGAATTGCTTTGGGATAGCTGCTAGACCTGGCACAAGAAAAGGACTGTCCACACATACTTCCTGTCAGCTGCCACTGGTATTTGGGGAAGCTGACAGAAATCTGTGACTTTGCTACCATTTAGGCACTTTGTGCACAGATGTGCACGCTGTTACTGAGAGAAGTGTTGACCAGGCTGAAACTGGTGCTTGCTGTACTCTTTCCAGCAGGAGTCAGTGGTGCCTGCTAGTGGCACTTCCAGAAGATGATGGGCTGTGCTCTGACCAGGGAGTTAACAAAGCACGACCCTGCTTCTGGGCAATAGAGGAAGACAGTGGAGTACAGACAGGCTGGAAGGAACAGGACAGGGGATTGTGGGACTGATGATAGAGGAGGACTTCCTGCACACAGCTATGCTGCAACCATAGAGTTCAGACGTGGGTAGCACCTGTGGGGTACAGCCTGTGAAGCCATAGATTATGGACTCATCTTGCACTCACCCTGGGATGCAGGTGTATTGGTGACTGGGTGAATCAGTCATGGGACAGGCATGGGCACAGGCCCAAGCTCACGGTGAAGTTCAGTGTAAACACACGCATGGGCATGTGGCCAGGGGAGTTGACCTAACACCTGCTCTTCCAAGAAGCCCTATGGATCATTAGTGATCACTCAGTCTGGGTCTCAGCTGAACATCCTTTCCAAGGGATGAAGGGCTCTTAATCCCTAGTTGCCCTTCCCAGGGGCAGATCAATTTTCCATCATCCTCTGAGAGGATTACAATGGGTACATCTACGTGTGTGCTTTAATGCGCAGTAGCCTATTTTACTGCACATTAAAGCAGTGCATAAAAAACTCTGCTATTATGCTAATGCATAGTAAAATAGGCATTATGCGCTTGTGTGAAAAGTGTTAATAATCTGGGAGCAATTTGCTTTAAAGTAAACTCCTGGGTATGCGGCTACACATGCAGGGATGCAGAAGCAGATCCTAACAGCAGACTGCTCCCACATCCTGTGGCCCTGCACTGGGCCTCTGCAACGGCCAGGCGGAGCTCTAGGCCCCCACTCCCCATGCTGAAGTGGGAGCTGGCAGCTCCAGCTGCCAGGGAGCTCCCCAATAAGGATCTCCCAGTCCCCACTCCCAGGCAGGCAGTACATAATAAGTAAGTAAGTAATCTTGACTGTTTGCTACTTGCATTTGCAGGTAGCAAATATACTAGTGATTAGAGCAAATTACTGTTCAATAAGCATCTGCACATGTAGATGGTGACACATGCAGTAATTAGCCCTAATCTTAAGTAAAGGTGTCCAGTGTTACCTAAAACGCATGCATTTGTGCTACTGCACATTAGGACAGCCCAATGTGCTTTAATTGAGTACTTCACTTTGAAGGGTGCCTGTACACGAGCCTGGAGGCCACTTCAGTGCGTTGTAAGTAATTGCCTGTGCTGGAACGTGGCAATGACTGTGTTCCAGCAGCCTCCCACATCTTGCGTGTTGTGTCCCCTCGCTTCAAAATGGCAACAGGGGAGCGTGAACTAAAGCTTGTTAAATGGGCTTTAGTTCAAATGCCCCTGCTGCCATTTTGAAGTTCAGGGACACTGATACAGAAGCTGCTATGGCACTTTAATTAGAGCGTGAGCTGCTCTAATTCAAGCTCCTCACCCCGCAGAGCATGTGTAAAAGTGCCCCAAGGTGCTAAATTTAATGCGCATTAGGAAAAGTGCAGTATTGTATGCATAGGTGACTCATAAGGAGGTATGGGGGGGCACATGCCCCCCCTGAGATTGGCTGCCGCTTGCCACCCTCCCCGCTGCCACCACCGCAGCTTCTGCGGGCAGTCGCCACTTGCTGCTGCTGCCACTGGTGACTTCTGCAGGCGGCCACCAATTGCTGCTTGTCACTGCTGGCTTCTGTGGGCAGTCACCCATCGCCGCTCACTACAACCCCCCCCTGCCACTGACTTCTGCGGGTAGTTGCCACTCGCCACCCTGCGGCTGACACTGCCGCCTACAAATTGTGCCCCCCCAGTCTCAGAAGGCACCAGTCCTTCATGAATGTACATATAGGTGCACCCAGCTTTAGGCAGCCCACACTGCTATTATTGGGTCTGGGATACTGGTAACAGAAATTGGCCTATCGTGCTGAAAGCCCAACTCCACCATGGCAGGAAGTACAAGTATGACGGGCCTTGGGGGCATGAAATGCCAGAGCTGGAGACTTTTCAGAACAGCGCCCCCGAACAGCAGCTGGGTCCTTGTGGCAGACGAGTGACGGGAAAGTTTGGCTCCCAGTGGCCTCTGCCCAGCGCCCGTGAGAAATGCCAGGAGGTTACTCCCACTTTGGCATGAGTGACTGGTGCCTCCTGAATCTGGGGGGGGCACCTGCAGAAGCTGCCGACCCTGTCAGGGAGGGCACCGGCCCTACTGACAGCATCAGTGTTGGCCCTTGAGGGGGGCACATGCACCCCCGTGCACCCCCTACCAGTCGCCTCTGCCCTTTGCGTGTGCGTGTGGTCTGTGCACTGCCTCCAGGAGACTTTCTGGCCCTCTACCCATGGGCATGAGCCTGCCCCTCCCTGTGCCCCACATCCAAGCGTAGCCAGTGGCACGCACTCCCTGCGCCTCAGTTTCCCCCAGCTGCAGAAGCGCTGGCACTGTACACAGGGCGCCAAGAAAGAAAGGACAGAGCCAAGGAGCCCTTGCATGTGAGCAGCACCCCAGGGAGCACGCCCTGTTTCCCTTGAGTGTTGGCCCTAGGGGGCCCCCGGCTCTGCTCTGCCCCGTGCACAGAGGTGGGTCTCCGGCTGCCGCGGCAGAACGCGGGTGGAGGCGCCGCGGATGAAATGGAACAAGGCCCGGGCTGAAGTTAGCAAAACTCAGGGGATCACAGCACAGCCTGGGGGCTGCAAGGGGACGGAGGCAGCAGGGGCACCGGGGAAACCCGGACAAGCTCAGGCTGTCTCAGCGCAAGGGGAAATGCGGACAAACGCCGGTGGAGCAAAGCCTTGGCCACGCTGCCGCTAGAAGGGGACACAGAGATAAGTGGGCCGCAGCAGATAGCCCCACCATCTCGGTAGCGTGGCCGAGCGGTCTAAGGCGCTGGATTAAGGCTCCAGTCTCTTCGGGGGCGTGGGTTCGAATCCCACCGCTGCCAGAACGTTTTGTCCCTGCGCTCTTTCCAGGCCGCTCCACAGCGCCGCCTGC